TGTGTGTGTGTGTGTGTGTGTGTGTGTGTGTGTGCGCGCGCGTGCGCATACAAGCATGCGTGTGTGTGTGTTTGTGTCTGTGTGTGTCTGTCGGCATGTTTCTGTTTGTCTGTGTGTCTTGTGGGCATGTTTTTGTGTGTCTCTGTGTATGCGGGTCAATTTGACCCGAAGACCATACGAAGGATGTAAATGTGTGGGGTATAGTAGCATGTGTGCTCAAATATTTTTTTTTGTTTATACATGTTCATCACAGAAAATAAGGTAAGGCCATTGAGTTTCAGGTAGAAAAAATGTATACTCGTACCATTTTTCTTATTGTAAAAATTTGAAACGGGTCAATTTGACCCGAAGACCATACAAGGGTTAAGTTACCTATTTGTGTCATATGAGACTTTTTTTTAGAACGAGATCCTCTTTAACAATGACAGATTCAAAATAATCCCAGGATGAGTGCAAAACTATTTGTTAGATAGGTGATTGACTGTTCTGTTGACTTAAATGTGAGTTAAATGTTCTGGCACACTTTTAGTTTCTCTTTAATTACGTACAAAGGTCCCTTGTGAGTTTTAAAAAAATCTATATTTTCAAAAATTGAATCTCAAAACTAAAAACATCCTCTTGCACTCCTAATTGCACAATTCCTACTGAAAACAGAATTGATTATGCAAATGACATCTAGCTCCTGTAAAAAAGAAAAAAAAAGTTTGAGCTTGCCTGGTGGAATGCAAAGTTGGGGGGTGCATGACCCCCGCAACTTTATTCCAAGACAAAAGCTAAATAAACAGTTTAACAGCATTTCCATGGGGAGAAACACCTTTATCAAACCAAGTAATGAAAGAAGAGACAAAGGGACGGTCACATGACTCATTAACGTTTGAACCCTTTAAAGCCTGATCCAAGAATAAATCAAAACAGAAAATTACTTTTTTTTGTTTTGAAGTCTGTATTTGGCCTTTTAACAAAATATGTGAAAAGAAAAAACAGAAATACATTTTTAATATTAATAATTTATTACTATGCGATAAGTCAAGATTATTTGTTGTGTAGTCTTCTGCCCCCTGTTATCAGGTGTATCTGATTGTGTACAATAGG